CATGTGACCACTTGGGTCATTGGCAGCCCCATCCTGGGATCGCACAGGCTGTCACTCGAGTGCTGTGTTCTGAAGACTCCCAGGCATATGGCGTGAGTCTTCATCATTCTCTGATCTTCAACAACATGTACTTATCACCTTGCAGCAACATGCAGCTGCACCCTTGATGTATGGACTTACAACTCCAGCCAACTTCTCCCAACCTCACTTGTCACCACCACCCTCACCACCTGGGTCCCGCCTTGTGCTGTCTAGCACATACCAGGATCCAGTTCATATCCCACTCCTGGATTCACCAGACTGAGACCTTTGCGACCCCTTGATGATTGCCAAATCTTGTGGATACATGCCTGCTATCAAAGCTGGCAGGGCGCATCGCAAGACTGTGACCAAAGCTACCAAAGGCAAGGGTAAAGATAAGGAGAATACTAACATGAATGGAGGTGACCACCCTCAAAAGCATGCACGTGCCCTTGAGGATGATGAAGATGATCCGAGGGCCAAACATGGCTGCCCACATGGTTCCAACAATTACAGCTCAGCAGATCTCAAGGCCCTCCTGGACTTTGTCAAAGATGAGCTGCCTCTGGGCCAGAAAGGGTGGCAAGCAATCCACTTGAAGTTCATGCAGTGGGCAAGCCGCCATGAATGCCCTCACCGTAAAGCCCAGTCACTCAAAACCAAATTCAAACAAGTAAGTTCTAGTTCATTCTACAATGGCATCTTAATGTCTCACCTTGCAACCTCAGTTTGTGAAGACTACAAAGCCCACTGGTGATGGAGTGTGTCCTCCTGATGTGACTCGAGCCCATGAGCTTGATGCACGCATCAATGAGCATGCTGGCACACGCGATCTAAATGACTTGGACTATGATGCCCAGGACAACGAGTTGAATTGTAACAACCCACCTGTCAAGGTGTGAAGTATGTCCCCCCTCAAGCACACTGCAGTCACCCGTGCCACTTGGACAGATGCACCTGTGGCATGCCACCAAGGTGCAGCAGCCTCAGAGCTGCTTTCTTGCATTAGCAGGGCCTTTGACCCTGCTGTTCAGCAAGTTCGAGACGAGGATCATGCCACCAGGACTCTTGCAAACACGCAGTTGCTTACCCAGGGACAGCAGCTGTGTGATGCAAATGCCGTCACTGAGAAATTACGGACCCAACTGTTCGACCTACAAACCAGACTCTATGCTACTGAACATGAGCATGACCTTACCCAGACTCTACGCTACTGAACACGAGCGTGACCTTACCCAGACTCTACGCTACTGAACGCGAGCATGACCTTACCCAGCTTCACCTGGAGACAGCACAAGTTCACCAGCCTACTCCCAACCAAGCTGCTCCCAAATCTTGTCACCAGCGCAAACTGAAACCAAAATACACAGACTATACTTATTACCCTGACGGAGGTCAAAGTGTCATCTGGCACAGTGATCCAGAGACCTCAGCATCAGATGCTTCAGACCATCCTCCAACATCTCCTCAATATATGCATCCTACTCCTCCTCCTTTCAATACCACTCCTTCTCCTTGCTTCACCTACCACCACTGGGCATCCAGACCCCATTCATGTGGTGCAGGGTGCCCACGCAATTCTGTCGTCATTCGTTCTAATAGGGAACAGACCCAAGTGCATACAGACATCAAGAGTGAGGAGGATGATGTGGATGACCTGCCAATGAGCAAGTCAGCTCACTGTCAAACACCAGAGGTGTAATTTCTCACTTCTCTCACTAAAGGCACTCGCACAGCTTAGATAGATAAGGTATCATTTCTCGCTTCTCTCACTAAAGGCACTCATGCAGCTTAGATACATTTCTTGCTTCTCTCGCTAAAGGTACTCATGCAGCTTATACAGATAAACATATGTCATTTCATTGTCATAGTCCAGTTCTTTAATCAAATTCTTGAGCTACTTGTACTCTAGCGTGACATGAAAATGTGTAACACGATCTTTCTGCCTTTGCTCTGAAAACAACATGTTCTCAAAATCATGCCACACAGCAATGTCATCAAGTGTCTCCTGCCAATGTTTGAGGTACACTGTCCATATTTGATTGATGCCGACATGGATTGCATGCAGATTGTGCAAATGTTAAGAACCATGTTGCTCAAGGGGGAGAGAGACTGACTCAGAGGGGCTTGGCCTCAGCTCGTACGCTGTGCCCCTTACCCAAGTATGTGCCCTTCATTTCGTATGAGGTCCAATGATGGTCCAACAAAGTCTGGAGGACTTCTGGAGGCTGGCTACTCTGCTGGAGAGTGCTAGAGGACTTCCGGAGGAGCGCAGGAAAGTTCCAGAGGAATACAGGAAGTGCTCAGGAGAGTTCCCACTACAAGGTAATACTTCTACAGGAAACAGGATGGAAGGATAGGAGGTCCAAAGGTCCGGAGGACAGGAGGACAGGAGGACAGGAGGACAGGAGGGCAGGAGGGCAGGATGACGGAGGACAGAAGGACAGGATGTCTGAAGGTACAGAGGGTGGAACATCCAAAGGACAGGACATCCAGAGGTCCAGAAGGAATAGGGGCTACATCAGACGAAGTCCAATGTAGAAACAAGCAGGGGTAGACTACCCTAAGGTAGAGTCAGAGGGACAGGGATTGGACCTAAGTCTGGAAAGAGGGTAAGTGCCGGAAAGGCGGAGCTCTGGCCTAGGGGATCAATCCCTAGGCCTGATGGGTAGGACAGACTTAGGTGGACCAAAGTCTGAGAGAGGATTGGGCAAGTCTAAGTTGCTATTCAAACTAGGGAACTACAGGAGTATCTACAGGGGTTATATACTGAACAATATCTGAGGGGATCAGTAAGCAAAGGAGCAAGGCTATGTACGAGCATGTGGAAACACATTAGTAAGTAAGTCGGAACATAAGTAAATGAACTCAGAGATGAGGACTCGTACAAGGATCAATAAGCAAGACAGAACAAGAGGTAACTGAAAGCCGGAAGGCAGAGAATGCCTAAATGGGGATAGGCGCAGGATATCGGACAGAGGGTGGGAATAGGTCCGGAGTTAATATCCGGAGGTCCGGAGATCTGGGGATCCGGAAGACAAGGTGGATACAGGACCAGAATACAAGAAGGTGGATATAGTCTGGAATCTGAGATGAGGTGAAGTCCAGATGTCTTGCTGGATGGAGTGTGCATAGGGTGGACAGGATAGGGTTGTATGGATCAGGCTAGCAGTGAGGATCCGATGGTCCAGAGCTCAGGGGTAAATCTGGAGTGTAGTCAATCCTGCTGAGGTGTGGAGCACAGTGGAAGGGGATCTTGGAATGAGCTGGATATGATGTGGGGTCTGGATGTAGGCTCGGAAGGCGTGGGAATATGATGGAATGTGGGTCTGGATTGTGGGATATGACAGCAAACGAACACAGATTTCGATGAGATCACCCCGTGAGTCTTTGTCAGCGATTTTGAGTGGTACATGCAATCTTCCAAAAGCACCTTGAAGACCACGCATCCCCCATTCAGCAGTCTGCCAGTATGAAAGCAGTTCGTGATTAAATGCCATCTGTTCATCAATCTCAGTGAGTGAGCCCTGAACACGTTGGCCTTGTTTCAGAGGTGCACAGATTTGGCCCTGTATGTCATTGCTGCCACACAGGAATGCCGTGTCAGCGACAATATAATAACCAGGGGGAGTATCATTTTGAAGAGAGGTGTAGATTTGATGAGTGAGACATGAGTCGTACCAACTGCCTGGGGCATTCAGCCTTGCAGCAATAATCACCCCTGTAATGTTGTTGATCAAGGCTAGAGCAGGACACTGCATCAAACTTACCTTCAGCTGAAAAAGCTAATACAGAACTGATAAAGTGCTCTGAGAGCCACCCATTAAACGTCACATTCTCGATGTTGACATCATCTGACGTTTGCACCAGTAGTTTGAGACCATCAATACTACCAAATGCCCCTTCAAGTCTCCCATGATGGGCCACAACAAGTGCGCTACAGCACTCGAAGTCTAAGCCTGCCAGCCATTGAATTTTGGCATCTGTTAGAGTGTGGAGGGTGCATAGGAGAAGCTTAAGACCAAAGTGAAGGTATCGAGTGACAGTACTGGGGATGATAGCAAAGATCTGCTGTAGGCTGATAGCATGCATAGTGGAGCTAAGATAGTGTAGCACAAGCCCAAGTGCCCCTGCGGCATCAAGGGAGCACTGATTTATCCATGGATTTCCATGTGCAGAGACATCATCATGAGGAATCGGTGTCTCAAACCAGGCTTGCGCAAAGCCTGCAGTAAGTAGTGAAGAGAAGATGGGCACATCAACACCCATTGTGGTGATAAAGGCTCAATTGTTCTGGCTGTCATATAGTACCTGCCATGGGGTGTTCATGCAAGGATTTGGAAGTAGTTGGGGTTGGCAAAGATATAGACGATGAGGGTGCTGAGTGTCAATCTGGTCTTGTCGTGCTACCTCACTCCCACCAATGATAGCAGCTGCTAGGACCCGAGCTCTTTCGTTGTCATCGAATTGAAGTTCAGCCTCATCCTCGTCAAGAAGCAGGTACTGGATTGCAAGATCATCATGATGGTCCATTAAGGGCTGGACTAAATCTATTGGACTGCACGCACGGGGGATTATTCTAGTATAGGTTAACATATCAGCGGTATTGGTAATGCTTTTGAGACTCCGGTATATTCTATCCTGGATTATTTTGCCTACGGAAAGTCATCCAATACGGGAGACTACCGTGACTTAGCAACTGGTTCTGCTTAACTCTTCCGAAAATATACTCGGCGCTCCCAACCATCGATAGATATCCCCTGATGGCTTCCAAATCTACCGACCTCTACAAGCGACCACTCACGATATGACCCCTCACATTGCGCAATAGTATCATAATGTCAGCGGTCGCCGGTGACACTGTTACTACCTACCAGAGTTTCAAGTGGCAATACACTACATCCATTGAACTTGCGCATGGGGATGTCGGACTGATGATAGATCGATGTTGCCTCGGTGATAAATTATCACCGAGGCAACATCGACCTATCAACAAGGGCAGGTTATGATGATGTTCCAATTCTTCGGAGCTGAATGCCAGAACACGCCTGGGTCCTGGAATATGGAATGAGGGCCAGATTCAACTGCTACTTGGGAAAGGATGACCAATGCCGTGCATGCTGAAGGAGGCCTTAGGTATGACTTCTTCCCTAGCGTTCTTCTCGACCTGATAGAACATCACAACAGCGCAATCTGCTCGCATAGAATAACGCATCACACAGTAGTTCTTCCGCTGTATCCAGGCCGTACGAGTCACTCAGATGCCCCTGAACAAAAGGCTTCGGGAATGGTGGGCTATCAAGTGCTTGTAAGACATATTGATATGTAACCAAAGCCGGTTTACGAACCCTCAGCGCGTGGGGGAAAGTTCAAGTTTTCAACGACCGTAAGTAGCATTTCTGCACTGTGGCTTTTTATGAGACTGATGTAGAAGCAGCCGCAGCTATGCAACTAACGCCGATAGTTCCGCGCAACAATGTCGGGTGTAGCGGGATTATATCTTCGTGTTCAAATTCGTCGCTAGCCACATCAATTGACCTATCTTCTTTTAGTATATCCATATTACGCGGCCTACGTTCAGGGATGATTGCTAATGGGAGCGGGGGTATACTGCAGAGGGGGGAAAGTTTAGGCTTGTATGATATGGGCTATCCCTGGACCGACACGACTGTCTCTGGATGATCAATCTGGGGATCGATGACCTGTCAAATATCATATTACGTGTTTTGTTTTGCCCAAAGTTCGCCCTACTCGAGATTAGTCTCATGGCCTTCTCTTGGGCGATCATCGCCCACGATGCAGGATAAGGATCTTACCACAGAGACACTGGCTCTGTCGCCGCTTTTGACCTCGCGATGCATATGAGGTATATAGCCAAATTGCACAGTTTCGAAGATGTCTCGCCTTCAAAAAATTATCAATTACATGAATAAAACAAACATATAATGCCATTGGCTCGCTGCCAGACTCCAGAATCGCAATTGCACACTAGGAGGGTACAGAGCCCCGACTCTGAGAACTGAGAGATGCGCAGCTGAAGCAGAGATCGACGATGACACGAGAGCAGAAGGCTAATTATAATTCCTTGGACGATGACCAGTAACCAGCTGCAGTTCGTCTCACCAACCAGCTCCAAAAACGGTGCGCTGAGGATGGCACACGCGAGGACTACCACGCTGCGGCTGTAGACGGTCAGCACTCGCCTAATCAAGTCAGGGAGTGAGGCAAAGACCGAGTGGTGGGAGAAATATGAGAGCTGGAGTCTGCAGAGTACCAGCACCAAGTATTGGATCACGATATTATACTGCTGTGACTCCTCGTAGCAATCAAGCTGCGCCCGTGAGCACAGAATCCCCTCTATTCTGCGCCGTGACATGGGGCAGAACGTACCTGTGAATAGAATCAACACTGGGCACAATGCATAATATCGAGCGTTTAGAAGAGAGGTGTGTCTGTAGGAAGCGTATTGTTTCATTTATCGTGAGGAATGAGTCGTGTGATGATTGGGAATGGTGTACTTCTGCTTGCTCAGAACACCGATCTCAAACTTCGAACTTCAAACGAAACAATCAACATCCCATCCAATTCACCCATCTACCATTCTGCACGCGCAAGAATGAAGGATCAACAACGTCGCGGATGCCAGTTCGGAAATCTAATGGCGTAAGTCCTAGTCAACCTCGAGGAGGAGAAACTAGTTTATCGACGGGGGAAAGAGGCGGATATCTCGAGTGTTTGGGGAAGTAGGGAGTGTATCTGTGGAGAGTGGAGAATGATGAGGGCGTGCTACACATTGAAAGAACCAAGAGCCCACATACCAAAGTCTGCCCCCTTCCCTATCTCGCATCGCTACGGCCGAGTCGTACAATCCATACCAAATGAACCAGATTGAGGATTCAGATTTCGCGTTTCCCTCCAAAAAGAAGTGTAAGAATCCGGATGCTTGGGGACTGCCCGCCGTGTTGAATTCAAATCTAATGAAGATTCATGCTATGGAAATCAATTAATAACTTGAAAGAGCGTCGAAAAGAAACACCCCAACATCGAAACTGGGGCAATGGCATTCAGATCTAAAAGACACCGTGTCTTCCGGGTCCGAATCACATGGCTCCAGAGTCGACAGTCGTCCTTCAAGTTCTTTACTCGGAACAATGTCTTTGTGTTCAATGTTCATCTTTCTCGTTGACCATGGCCTGGGTTTATTCCTACAATCGGTCTTTTCTCGCGGAAAGTGGAAGTTGCAGGGAAGAAGCGATTTGAAGAACCCGAACTCGAGTCTCGAAATGGGAGTTGGGGTTGTGGTTAGGGAGAAGTTGTGTCTGTGAGCACTGAGCGAGTGAGGAATGAGTGGCCCGGGGGCGTGCATGTGGTAAACTCGACTCAGAGCGCACATATCAAAGACTTCCCAACCTTCCCTCTCCCAGTCTTGCACGTCAAAACATATACAAGCCAGATGATAGACCAGATTCCAAGTCACCGCCTGAAATCGAAGAAGTTTAGGATGCTTGATGGGAGGGATGTCTTACCTGGGTCCTCATCTTATCCGAAGTATGCCACTGCCAGGCAACAGGTTTAGCGAAGTTGAACGCCGAACTCAAACTCAAATGAAAGGCAATGAGACAGTATGCCCGTAAGCACTAGTCATTTCTTCCCGGCTAAGTATGGGTCAAGCACATGGACGTAGTGGATGGATGTGATGGCACGGAGGCAAAAGGCTCGGAACGTGTCAATAAATACCATACTACATTCCAGTAGATAGCATAGGACAGCATGCAACACAGCAACGACAACAAGGATATCCGTGCTCATATATATATATGCCTAACCCTGAAACAGTACGTATCAATCAAAGGAAACGTGGATACTAGGTCGCTCGGCCCTATGACAACGCTCCCCAAACAGCCAACCCCGCGAAAAAGGTCATGATACCGACCAACACGCCGGCATAGGCAGCGGTATGCACGCCTACGCGTGGTAGGAGGGTTGGTGTGTGCAGCGCTGCAAGGCTTGCGTGGAGGAGGAGGACGAGGGGGGTGGTTATGATGAATGGGATGTATGAGCTGTCGTAGGACTGCACGTGTGAACCCGCATAGGAGTAAAGGAAACCTTTGAGTTGGACTGTTACAGGGAGGGATGACAGTCGGTCGGATACGTCTGAGAGGGGGAGGGAGAGGGGGGAGCGGAGGTATGCTGCGCTGAGGAGGAGGGTGAGGCCTGTGGAGAGAAAGATGGAGTTGAAGCGTTGGAGACAGGATATGAAGACTGGGATTTTCTGTGTGACGTGATTAGAGAGTCGATTAGAGACGCTGAGGGTACGCACGATGACAGGAACTCCATAAACCTCCTCCAGCTCATCTCTCATCTTTATTACAAGTAACTTCTCTAACCCACGATCTATACGCGATTCGACGCTTCGAGCTTCTCCGTCTTCTAGTCCGTTTTCAAAAGCCTCGTGTTGCTGTTGTGGGGAATGAGGGTTTTCGAGTGTTGGTTCGGGTTCGTCGAGAGACCCTGATTTTAGACGTTCGAGGAATTCGGTTTCTCTTCCTTCTGGGACCATGACATCGCGGTAAAGAGCAAGCTGTTCATACCCCTGTACAATAGCAGCGAGCACCTCTGCAAAGTTGAGGGAAAGCCACCATACAGTGCGGAAAGCAGGGTCCTGGCAAGTAGGGGCGGGATAATCCATTGTGTGCCTGACTTGGAGAACCACAAGGGCTGCGAGACGAAGGCCATTTGTGATGAGGACATGGATGAATGTGCTTGCGAGACAAGCGGATTCTGAAGGGAGTAGGAGGGAAGCGAGTGAAAAGAGGGGGACGCGGAGGAGATGGGCGAGACTGAAGAATGCACTAGAGATGAGTATTTCAGGTAATGGGAAGGGGAAAGATGATGGGTATGGAGAAGGAAAATCTGCTATGGGCCAAGCCAAGTCTGGTAGGAGTGCTAGGACAGAGAATATCACTATTGCGAAAATTGGAACGAATGCATTCAACAAGAGAAGTCGAGAGTATGAACCTAGAAAACGTTGTAAGTAGAAGCAGCTAAAGAATGTTTAAAGGGGAAGCTAACCAATATACAATCCATTATTTTGAAGCTCCCACTCAACATCGTCGTCTTCATCGTTAACGTTCTCCTCCTGTGGATTAGGACTGGCAATGATACTTTCAGCTGGTGAGTTCATAGGTGCAAAGCCAATGTCGGCATAAGCGTTGGTCGCAGGCCCTTCAACAACCGGCTGGGCCCAGTCTGGATCCCATGGATATTCAAGACTTGCACTGTGAGGCAATACTGCAGCGGCTGTTTGGGCAACCCTTCTATGCATCGAGTTGGTGGTCAATGACTAGCCTACTACTTCATGTCTACTTCATGTTTTGTACGCCCAGTTCTGTGACAAGAAGCGAGGGCCTGCACAGTCAGAACCTCCCGCGTAATTACGTGTCCCATCAACGGCAATTCAGCCATTGGCAGATATCACCATATTCCACTGGTACCACTAGAGTGGCAACAAAACTTGCAACACTCTACTGGAACCACTAGTCGCAGCAGACACTTTATTGGTGGTGACCACTAGTCACCTGCGCCTGCCCATCCTGGCATGGCATCCGAAATACGCCCCTCATCGACACTTCCCACTGACCAACACCATGCAACGCGATAGTCACGTTGCCCTATGATGAAATTGTATCAGCATCACAATCTCTACAAGGCGGAAGAGAAGAAAAAAAAAATGAAAAAGATCAGCTTTCGATGCATTTCAACAAGAAAATGCTCCCATCTCCACATTGTACACCGGGAGACTTAACGGGAGCACCACGTTCGGTCCGCCCATCGAATAGATTTCATCCACATGTACGACGACGACAACGGAAAAAAGGATTGAAGTGGGCAGTAGACGCACAATAGGTAATCCACCACACACAACGTCAACGCGGACCTGAAATGCAAGAGATCAGCTAATGGTCGAAAACATAAAGAGAAAAGTAAATGTCAGACAAGGCTGAAATCAATGATATCGTCCACATGTATATTCGGAATGTGGTAAAGTACTGATAGTCATCACGGACAACGAAAGGAAGGAGCACTCACCGTCAACACCAATGACCATCACCATCGAACGCTGCCTAGCTAGCGCTCAGTGCATCCAAAAAACTTTAAGAAAGAAATTTAAACGCCGACAGTCCCAAACCCTCGCGGAGCCACAAATCCAAATCATGCCGCCTAATTCCGATCACATCTTGAATCAGCCAAGTCTCCTGGAGATCTTCTCCACCATGCAATCTCTCCTCCGATGGAGCGTAGAAAACTCCACCCCAAGCACAGGTCCCACACCCACCACCACCAATAAACTCGACCCAGGAATCATCGATCACATCCTCGGTAAACCAGATGCCCAACTCATGAGAGAAGCTCTCATAGTAGGCATCGATGAACGGCAGACTGAAGATGATAGATTACAGGCGCTTGATGATCTCGAGATGGTGCGTCCCATGATCTAGACTTGTATGCAGTGGCTTACGGTGGAGATATAGCTGGTTCAGAATATCGATAATGCAAATGGTGATCATACACCCGTAGATTGATCGATGTGCTATCTAACAAATGGTATAAAATAGACCTGGAGAAACTAGGGCTATGGCAGCCCCTACACAACCTCCTCCAATCACCAAACACAACCGACAACCTCAAAATGCAAACCTTGTGGATAATCGGAACCGCACTACAAAACAATCCAGCTGCTCAACTCGCCGTAAGTCCTCCTTCTCTCAATTTGGATGTGGGTTATGGGCCGGATTGTGCGCTTGGTTAAGTGTGCAATAGTCTAACATGCAATCCAGTCCATGATCCAAATCCGCCCCCAATTCACCCTCACTAACAGTGCTTTGCGTTTCTGTTTTATCTGATAACAGTACCTCGACCTTGATCCCCTCTCTACACTCCTCAAATCCCTCTCCCCCACATCCAACTCCGCTGAGACCCGCTCACGAGCATTATATGCGCTTTCTGGGCTCCTGAAACTGAACGCTGCTGCTGTGCAACAGATGGGTGTGGCGGGTGGATGGAACGCGTTGAAGATATGTTTGGAAGGTGCGTATCCTCCCACAACCCCTACCCCTTTTTATGATCACGACACTCACGCATGAATAGACTCAGATATCCGTGTCCGCAGAAAAACGACATTCCTGCTTAACACACTCCTCCTCCCAACCTCCCCCTCACAGGTCAACCTCCAACCAAACATAAGCCTCCCAACCTCAGAAACCGCATCACCCCAGGTCCACGCAAATTCTCATGCTTCGATGCTCTCTGATCCATCGTCTGTCTCTACGTCCGCTCTCACGCTCTCTGCACTTCAGAACTGCACAGAGGAGGGACAGGAGGGGTCTTTGCTCGATGCGTTGATATCAGCCCTGGTCCAACCTGTCCCGTTCGGTGTTGATGGCGAGATGGAAATGGATGAAGAATTTCAAGAGAACGTTATTAGGTGAGTACGATCCTTTCCTACATTCCCTTCCTTTCACTCCCATATGAGATTGGATTTGGTTGTTGATGTTGGGATGAAACTAGGATTTTGTATACGTTCGCAACAAGCTGCAACGGCGCTTTTTCGGTTGTGCAGAAACGTAGTCTTTGGGGTTTCTTAGGAGGGGTCACTACGACGCAAGGAGAGGAGTCGAATTTTGGATTGACGAGTGGGGAGTGGGAGGAGTTGACTGGGGCTGTGAGGTCGTAGTGCGATGCGTGCAATACCTGGGATGAAATGGCATTTAATTTGATTTTTGTTTTAACACCACACCACACACTAATGCCAACGAATTCTGATATCAGATGTTCGTTCGCTTGTGATAACACTATCTTCGTTTTTATCCAGTCGGACAGGTTATCGTCGAAGTAAGTGCTCCGATTTTTGTATCGACATCTAGCATTCTTGATTCTCGAATCCATCTTCATCTTCAGTATCCAGTTTCGACGGTTGACATCACGCTACGTGGGATAGCACCGTCGACTTTTGTCATTTGATGCTTTTGGTGTCGACGTTGGTGGAGCATGACTTGATCATTGCATGCGAGTCCCTTGTTCTGCTCTCTGTATTCGATTTTCATGCAATAGTTGAAACGTTAATGCTATGTTGGAGTTGGAATTTTATACACGTTCGTCACAGGCTACAACGGCAGGTTTTCAGCTACAGAAAAATGTATGAGTAGTATACGTTGCAGACGGAGGTGGCGAGGCGTCTGGTATCCGTATCGTACACAAAGAACGGTTCGAAGTACATCAGAGGGACTGGATGAGCCATCAACGAGAGTCCATCGAGGGATGTAAAACCATGTGACTCGTGAAGGATGATAAGATCTAATGGTGATCGTCCGTATATTCAGGAGAGAGACAGCCAAGAAAGAGCCAGACGCGAGTCCAGAGTCCAGCATCTTTTATCATTGCATGACGGCGTGACGGTAGTGTTGAAGTTGTGGCTTCAGTAGCATCACCGGTAGCAGGTGTGGTGAACAACGAAGAGGCAGCTGCCTGTGATTGCGAAGGTGGCTTGGTGACATTGAGCTTGGGAGGCTGTGAGCTGCCTGCAGTAGAGTTCTTCGAGTGCAATGCTTCCGTTTTCTGTTTCTGTTTTTGTTTCGCTAACGCAACCTCTCTCTTTGAAGCGTTTCTCTATATGATATCAGGTCGAGTTGAATGTCCGAGAAACAGAAATAACATACACGTTTTCCCTTTGCATATGGGACTTCGAGAACTGCGGAGCTGCGCCCTTGCAACTCAATTTCTTCACCACTCTGTCGGCGCCGTTTGAAAATGTTTCGAGCCCAGTCGAGAGGGGAGGATGATGTATCCTGGGTACTGGAGGGGCTGCGATGGAATAAGCGTCCAAGAAGTGTGGTTTCTTGTGGTGCTGAGGTCTGAAACCGCGGAGGTCAGGATGATACTCAAAGTGATAGTGATGACGTACATGAGCTGGTGGGACTCCATCGAAGAAACCATGGGGTACACGACCAGCAGGCGGACGTCGTTGGACCGGAGGTCGTGTAGCATCAGCCTAGAGTATGTATATTGAACGCAATGAGATCTTTTCATGAATATGTCACGTACATGGAGTGCCGACTTGTTGACCTGGCCGAATGCGCTCAGTTGTGAGAATGCAATATAACCAGATTATCAACTCACCTTTGAATCTGATACAAGTTCGTCGAGGCCGGCTTCTTTAACAATCGCAGCAACATCCCATGTGTACGCATTTTTGTCATTGGAACCGGTGACTAGTAGCTTTCCATCCACGGAAAATGACACACAGTTCACTTGCTCTGCGTGCCAGAGGAGCGAATTGATGGGTTGTCCATTGTCGAGGTTCCACAATCGCGCTGTGGTGTCGCCCGAAACGCTCGCGAGGATGCGGCCATTCGGTGATATTGCAATGGCAACGACACTGGCAGTGTACTCAAAAAGAACCGCGGTTTGCTCCCAGTTGGTTGTATTCCATGTCCTAATGGAGTTATCTGAATCGAATGACCCGGAGATGAGCGTTTTTCCGTCCTTGGTCCAAGCTAGGCAAGTAACTTCCTGTGTGTGTCCTTTGAGAGTTGCGACAAGCTTGCTTGTCTTTGCATCCCAGATTTGAATTGAGGATTCGTGTTTTCCGGTATGGGGCGCATCACGTCCACCAGTCGCAATCAAGGACATGTCTGGTGAATAGGCGACTGCCCACACTTCATCGTGTCCTGTCTTGATCGATGCAAGTATGGTTTCTCTGCTTTCCATGTCCAATGTCCCCCCACGTTCCACGTTCCATTGTCTTGCAGTCCCATCCTCAGATCCGCTTAACACTCTCCGACCATCTCGACTCCAGCAGACAGACACCACAAGCTTTGTGTGCCCTGTCCATTTCGCGATGACCTTGCATGTGTCAATGTCCCACAGCCTCACCGCACCATCCTTACTCCCGCTAACCACTGTCTTTCCGTCCGGAGACAACGCTATGGTCCATACTTGTCTTTCTATCGCTCTCCAGGAACTTCCTATCTCACTCTCGCTAACCCCTTTCTTCCTGTTTGGAGACAACGCTATGCTCTCCACTTTACTTTCTCCGTCTCTCCAATCTTCTCCTATCTGTTTCCCGCTCTTCAAGTTCCATACCCGCAACGAGCCGTCGTGTGAACAAGTGATGATCCGCTGTTCATCTGGCAGGGGTATGACACCCCAGACGTTACTAGTGTGTCCTTCAAATTTCTGGCAAGGCGTTATCGCTGGTATTTTTTTCGTTTTAGTAGTTGGTGAAGCCATGCCTCAGGATTCCGACTACGGTGTACAGTGCCATCTCAGCTTTCACCCATCAAGTTTCAAATCATCACTTACGAGGTCTCTTAGAAGCGATGGGCGGGTAACAGTGAATAATGGTTGTGTGGGTCAAGTCAGAGTTGAATACACTGCTTCCTGTACGTTGCTGTACATGCTGTAATCCTCGTGTTCATTCTATAGCTTATACAGCATAGGCTGTGCAGCTGAAGCGCCCGAGCGTCACAGGGTAACATTCCATGTGGCCTCCATTTATGATTACCTAGTTCTCAACCACTAGGGAAGATGAGAGCCAGTTCGCTGCGAAGCGCTCTCATGCATTCTCAATGCTAACTGCTAGTCATGTGACGATGAAATGGCGTTGCAATGAGTTGTGTTGCCTATGTGCTGCTAGTAGTAGCACCTGGTATCTAATCGGCCTGGAACATTCTTTTAGGCTCACTGCTTAGAGTCATCTTCTGCCTCCGACAAGCACATAACTCCGCTGAGACCCGCTCACGAGCACTATATGCGCTTTCTGGGCTCCTGAAACTGAACGCTGCTGCTGTGCAACAGATGGATGTGGCGGGTGGATGGAACGCGTTCAAGATATGTTTGGGAGGTGCGTATCCTCCCACAACTCCTACCCCTTTTTATGACCACGACACTCACACACGAATAGACTCAGAAATCCGTGTCCGCAGAGAAACGACATTCCTGCTCAACACACTCCTCCTCCCGACTTCCCCCTCACAGGTCAACCTCCAACCAAACATAAGCCTCCCGACCTCAGAAACCGCACCACCCCAGATTCACGCAAATTCTCATGCTTCGATGCTCTCTGATCCATCGTCCGTCTCTACGTCCGCTCTCACGCTCTCTGCACTTCAGAGCTGCACAGAGGAGGGACAGGAGGGGTCTTTGCTCGATGCGTTGATATCAGCCTTGATCGAATCTGTCCCGTTCGGTGTTGATGGCGAGATGGAAATGGATGAAGAATTTCAAGAGAACGTTATTAGGTGAGTACCACCTTCCCTTCCTTTCACTCCCGTATGAGATTGGATTGGATTGTTGATGTTGGGATGAAACTAGGATTTTGCATACGTTCGCAACAAGCTGCAACGGCGCTTTTTCGGCTGTGCAGAAACGTAGTCTTTGGGGTTTCTTAGGAGGGATTACTACGACGCAAGGAGAAGAGTCGAATTTGGATTGACGAGTGGGGAGTGGGAGGAGTTGACTGGGGCTGTGAGGTCGTAGTGCGATGCGTGCAGTACTTGAGATGAAATGGCATTTAATTTGATTTGTTTAACACCACACCACACACTAATGCCAATGAATTCTGATATCAGATGTTCGTTCGCCAGTAAGTGCTCTGATCTCTGTTCGCATGCATCGACATCTAGTATTTCTTCATTCTCGAATTCATCTTCATCTTTCGAGTCGGTATCCGGTTTCGACGATTGAAATCACGCCACGTGCAATTCGAGACGATGGCACCGTCGACTTTTGTCATTTGATGCTTTGGTGTAGAGCCCGACTTGATCATTACAGGCGAGTCTTTTTTCCCACTCCTGTATTCGATTGTTAATGTTTATGCAGTGGTTGAAACGTCGACGCTATGTTGGAATTAGAATGTTATATACGTTCATTACAAGTTGCAACGGCAGGTTTTCAGCTACAGAAAAATGTATGAGTAGTACACGTTGCAGACGGAGGTGGCGAGGCGTCTGGTATCCGTATCGTACACAAAGAATGGTTCGAAGTACATCAGAGGGAGTGGATGAGCCATCAACGAGAGTCCGTCGAGGGATGTAAAACCATGTGACTCGTGAAGGATGATAAGATCTAATGATGATCGTCCATATATTCAGGAGAGAGACAGCCAAGAAAGAGCCAGACGCGAGTCCAGAGTCCAGCATCTTTATCATTGCATGACGGCGTGACGGTAGTGTTGAAGTTGTGGCTTCAGTAGCATCACCGGTAGCAGGTGTGGTGAACAACGAAGAGGCAAGCTGCCTGTGATTGCGAAGGTGGCTTGGTGACATTGAGCTTGGGAGGCTGTGAGCTGCCTGCAGTAGAGTTCTTCGAGTGCAATGCTTTTGTTTTCTGTTTCTGTTTTGTTTCGCTAACGCAACCTCCCTCTTTGAAGCGTTTCTCTACGTGATATCAGGTCGAGTTGAATGTCCGAGAAACAGAAATAACATACACGTTTTCCCTTTGCATATGGGACTTCGAAAACTGCGGAGCTGCGCCCTTGCAACTCAATTTCTTCACCACTCTGTCGGCCGCCATTTGAAAAGGTTTCGAGCCCAATCAAGAGGGGAGGATGATGACGTATCATGGGTACTGGAGGGGCTGCGATGGAATAAGCGTCCAAAAAGTGTGGTTTCTTGTGGTGCCGAGGTCTGAAACCGCGAAGGTCAGGATGATACTCAAAGTGATAGTGATGACGTACATGAGCTGGTGGGGACTCCATCGAAGAAACCATGGGGTACACGACCAGCAGGTGGACGTTGTTGGATCGGACGTCGTGCAGCACTAGCCTGGAGTGTATATGTTAAATAAAATGATATTTTTGAATAAGAGGTGCGCACGTACGTGGAGTGCCGACTTGTTGACCTGGTAGAGCGAGCTCAGTTGTGAGAATGTAATACAATGAGACTATCAACTCACCTTTGAATCTGATAGAAGTTCGTCGAGGCCGGCCTCTCTAACAATCGCAACAACATTCCATGAGTACGCGTTTTTGTCATTGCAGCCAGTTTGCTAGTAGCCTTCCACCCGCGGAAACGACACGCAGTTCACTGGCCCTGCATGCTGGAGGGATGAACCATTAATGAGTTGTCCATTGTCGAGGTTCCACAATCGCGCTGTATTGTCCATGATGCACTTGCGAGGATGCGGCCATTTGGTGATATTGCAAGGGCAAAGACATAGTTGGTGTGCTCATCCAGAACCGCGGTTTGCTCCCCACTTGGTTGTATTCCATGTTCCTAATGGAGTGATCATATGACCCGGAGACGAGCGTTTTTCCGTCATCGGTCCAAAGCCAGGCAACGCACTTCCTTTGTGTGTCCTTTGAGAGTTGCAACAACCTTGCCTGTCTTTGTGTCCCAGATTTGAATTGAGTGTTCAGGTAGTCCGCCTTTGTCCACCAGTCCGCAATCAAGGGACATGTCTGGTGAATAGACAAACTGCACACACGAATTCGTGTCCTGTCTTGATTGATGCAAAGTATGGTTTCTTCTCCGCTTTTCTCCACGTCCCGCATCTCTCCACTTTCCACGCCCCATTGCCTTGCAGTTCCATCATTAGATCCGCTTAACACTCTCCGACCATCTCGTAGCCCTACTTCCAGCAGGCAGACCCCACAAAACATTGTGTGCCCGGTCCATTTCGCGACGACCTTGCATGTGTTGATGGTCCCAACAGCCTCACTGCAGCGTCCCAACTTCCCGCTACCACTTTCTTCCCATCCGGAGACAACGTTATAGTCCATACCCCATCGTGGGTCGACACTTCGGTCATCTACTTTATCTCTCTCCCGTCAACCACTTTCTTCCCGCCTGAAGATAACGTTGTGCTGTCTACTTTACTTTCTTCTCCGTCCTCTCCAGTCTTTTCCTATCTGTTTCCCGCTCTTCAAGTTCCATACCCGCAGCGAGCCGTCGTGTGAACAAGTAATGATCCCTGGCCACCTGTAGGGGTGTATGACACCCCAGACGTTATCAGCGTGTCCTTCAAATTCTGACGAGGGGTTATTGCTGGTGTTTCTTTCGGTTATAGCGGTTGGTGAAGCCATGCCTCAGGATTTCCGACTACGGAGTACAGTGCCATCTCAGCTTTCATCCGTCAAATTTCAAATCATCACTTACAAGGTCCCCTCAGAAGCGATGGGTGGGCAACAGGGAATAATGGTTGTTTGGGTCAAGTCAGAGTTGAATACGCTGCTTCCTGGTACGTGTTGTACATGCTGTATCCTCGTGTTATCATGTATCAGCATAGGCTGTGCAGCTGAAGCGCCCGAGCGTCACAGGGTAACATTCCATGTGGCTCCTTACCTAGTTCTCAACCACTAGGGAAGGATGAGAGTAGTTCGCTGCGAAGCGCTCTCATGCATTCTCAATGTCAACTGCTAGTCGTGTGAAATGAAATAGCGTTGCAGTGAGTTGTTGCCTATATGCTAGTAGCTCCTGGTATAATCGGCTGGAACATCTGTCAAGCTACCGCTTAGGCATCTTCTGCCTCCAACAAGCACATACATCAGATCAGCGACATTTTTGAACAACGGCCAAGGAACATTTCCTACCGCACACTTCATTCTTTCTTCCAGCTACATCATACTCCGCCCGGAAATGGAGATGAGGCACTGGAAACCGCGATTCCGAACATAGGTTATGTATCGCACATCGAGAACTGGGCACGAGTAACGGTAATACCTGATCGCTAATCGCCACCCTGCAGATGAGATGAAGTAAACACTTACCGCGTCCTTGAGTTCGTTTTCGTCATTTCAGGTCTTCTGTTTCACGCTGGAGATGATGCTGGGTGTCCATCCGCCCTGGATAGCAATCATGACAATCGAGCTTTGGCAATGGGGTTGGATTGACTTACGGGATGTGAGGTATGAGCATCTAGATCGGTGCCAATACTGCGTCCCACAAAACCCTGTTATTCTCCGAGTCTCAGGTTCTGCTGCAATCGATGCTATAGGTATGTGTCAAATTCCTGGAGCTTGGACGATGTGGAAGTATTCAAGTAGAGGGCCCTGGTGTCATGCGCACTGTTGTTGAGTCCTTGGAGCCTGGAAGCTCAGCCTTCGAGTACCACAACATATAGAGATCCTTGGTTCGTTCTCACAATGCCATCATCGCACCTTACAGTTTGTAGTTCCTCACGACGAATTTTACTGATATTTTGTAGTGCAAAAACACTCACGTGTGACGGAATAATTTGTGAATCCCAGATCCGTCAGATCCGTTATGCAGGGGAAGGTACACCAATGATTGTTTTTATCAAGCAGGTCAGCACATGCATATAATGGCGCATATCGTATCTTAATAACCGCGACCCACGCATTTCACATGTCTCATGGAGGACAAATAATTTCCCTCCATGAACGATGATTTGAACTATGTTGTCCGTACGACCTCACCAGGGGTCTCTGAAGTCTGACGTGAGCTTTGCAACAGAGTTCCTCTGCTTCTAATGTGGGAGAAGAGGATTTAGTCTACGCAAAGCACGACCACTGAATTCGTTTCCAGAAGGTTCGATTGAACAACTCCAGTGTGTGTGCGGAGAAGGCACTTGGGTGCGTACATACAGACGAGGAGGCAAAGCAGAGCGCGCTGGATTTTAGGAGAGTGGCAGAGAACGAGTTTGGAGTGGGGTGCTAGTCAACGATGACGAGGACATCTTGATATGGGCGAGAGAAACTAATGCTGTG